AAAGCTGTGTTTACTACCTTGTTAGAAGTCTGAAACATCCACTAGATTTAGTATAATTATAAATTAGTTAACTGTTTCCTGAAAGAACTTTATCTCATGACACATAGGTGCACAGTTGTTTACCTCTCATATAATTTTTACCGAAATACTCCCAACCTGCCGTCTATACTCCCAAGTCATGGATCTCCTCACAGGTGAACACATCCTTTATATATATTGCTCCTCCTCCTCCCTTCCTGTTTCCCAGGCTCTGTCCTTCCCTCCAGTTCTTTCACTATCAGTTTTTCATATTGATTAGCCAGTTCCGTCCCACTCACAGGTTACATGGAATGATGTGGTGCTCAATAGGTGTCCACATGAACAAACTTTGTACTCTAGAACTTTTCCCAGAATCTTCTGTGTATGAAAGAAATAAAGGAGTTCCTCAATGGACATTGGCATAATATTTGCCCTGAAAAACACAGATATGTTTTTATATATGTCCTCGGCAACACATTTATCAGCTTTATCTCCTATGCCATTATTTTTTCAGCTAAACGAAAATTGTCCCCATTCTTCTAAGACTGCATTGAAACATTTTGATACCATCATGAAAACACTTTTCTCAAGCATCTTCTCTGTGTTGCCAATTGTTAAGTACCCATTTGCTTTGTTGATCAGACCAAAGTCCATCTAGTTCAAACATTATGTTTATTTTGAAAAGCAGATAGGATCATGTATGCAAACTGCTTACTGTTTTAAAATGGGTGGGGAACCTATGACCCATGAGCCAGATATGTTCCACCAGACCACATCTGGTGGCAGCAGCAGGAGGCCCCATTAGCTAAAGTGGTGCTTCAGGTTAAGAACAGTTTCAGGTTAAGTAAGGACCTCCAGAACGAATTAAGTACTTAACCCGAGGTACCACTGTAGAAGCGTTTTTTAGAGTATAGAATGTTGATCATTGTTTTGTTGATTTCTAGGGAGTCTAGTTCCCTCCTTTTTTGTTCTATAAGTTTAAGGAGTTTTTTTAGATCCTGTTTGTTTGTAGCATGATGAGAGGGCTGTGAACTGACAATACTAAACACCTTCGAAGATGACCATGCCCACTCACATCATAAAGAGCTCATAACCCACCTATTCTCAGCAGCCAGAAACATCATAGCCGGACACTGGAGAGACCTGTCAGGAGTAAGCATGGACCAATGGTATCAAATAGTATGGGAAAGAGCCTTATTAGAAAAACTAGCCAATAAACTGAAACTGACATGGGGACAAATAGAAGATGACGCCTTCACCCTGGTATGGCTCCCCTTTATCACATACACAGCCCAACAAGACAACGACAAGAATCCGCCAGCAGCATATGAAAAATCTGGCAAACCTGATTTAAAAACACCCACCCCACTCACACATGAAAACAAAGTTCACCACAGCCAGTCACAAACAAGCAACCACACCCTAGGCCAACCCCAATTTCTCTCACCACCAAAGGAATACAAGCGAATAATAATGAGAACCTGCAAAAGCGATGCTGACACAAAACCCCACACATACATTAAGTAGAATAGAAGCATTGCCACCCAACCCCACCCCACTCACCATTCCCCCCTCCATGTCTTTCCCCCTTTTCTTCCTAAGGTAACACTAATGTCTCAACAAATGAAACTGATCTGTAGAAAATGTAACCTGAAAAAAGAGACATTGCACATACTTTTCTAAACCAAGAAGTCTTTAATAAAAATATGTTAAAATAATAAAAACTATCTTAACTTGAATGGGTGGGTTGAATAATCTATCTGTCAATCACCTTATGCCATTATGATGTCAGAATAAATATTTGGTGCAGCTCCAACATACAGGGAACAACCATGGGGAACAACCATGCCTGACAGTCTATGCCTCTAAGTACAAAAGGCCTCACACACGACCTGTAGCAACCAATTTTAAAGATTTGAGCACTTCCCCTTCAGAACCTTTCAATCGTCTTAATGTTCTAAATTAATATTTTCCAATCTTTTATTTTCTGTGACTTTTTATAAAGAAAGGCGTGGAACTTCTGATAAAATAAACACAATCCAAAACCTTCCACGAGGTTCCTAATCTAATGAAAGGGCAAGGAAATAAACTGTCATGTTGCTTGTCATTTTCCGCCAAAGGCTTTGAAATAAACTTGTTCTGCAACGACAGGGCAATAATGAAAAATGGATAATGAAAGCATCAGAATTCTGACAGACTTCAAAGCATTTGCTTGGGAAACAAGGAACAATCATAAGGCGGATGGCACATTAGCAGTGTGCGAAAGAGAAGATGTACGTAAAATCAAAGTTTTTTGAATCATTGGATTAAGTGTAAATATTGAAGCCAGATTTGGTGATGCCACCAACATTCCTATTATTATTGTTGTTGCTGTTGCTGTTGTTTTTGTTACAATTTATATACCGCCCTTCAACATAAGATCTCAGGGCGCTTCACAGAATTAAATACAAGATAAAAACACAAGTAAATAATTAAAACAAAACAACAAAACGAAACAATAACCCCCCTTCCCATAGACACATTTAAAAGGCTGTAGAATATTAATCAGCCAAAGGCCTGGTTGAAGAGGAGCATTATTGCCTGGTACCTTAAAATGTAATATATAAAAATCTCGTGCTGCCACCCTCCAGACTTCTTGTGGAGGAGGTACATGAAAAAAGGCCTCAGATGATGAGCGCAGAATCCAGAGTGGCTTATATGGGGAGAGGCAGTCCTTGAGGTATTGTGGTCCTGAACTGTTTGAAGCTTTATTGGAAGCCAGTGCAGTTGGGTCAGGATCAGTATAATTTGCTCAAACCATCTTGCCCTGGTGAGCAACCTGGCCATGAAATTTTGCACCAGCTGAAGTTTCCAAACCATCTTCAGAGGCAGCCCTACATATAACGCACTGCAGTAATCCAACCTAAAGGTTATCCAGAGCATAGACAACAGAAGTTAGGTTATCCCTGTCTGGGTAGGGACACAGGTGGGCCACCAGCAGATGATAGGGGTAGGCACTCTGTGCTACCAAGGCCACCTGAGACTCAAGTGACAGCAGAGGCCCCATGCTACTAACCCACTCCTTCAGAAGAAGTGTAACCCCATCAAGAGCAGGCAACCTTTCAGCCATCTGGTCTGAAGAATCACCCACTAGCAGAGCCTCAGTCTTATCTTGGTTGAGCTTCAGTTTGTTGGGTCTCATCCAATCCATTATTGAGGTAAGGTAAGGTAAAGGACCCCTGGACAGTTAAGTCCAGTCAAAGGTGGCTATGGGATTGTGGCGTTCATCTCGCTTTCAGGCCGAGGGAGTCGGTGTTTGTCTGCAGGCAGCTTTCTGGGTCAGTGGCCAGCATGACTAAACCACTTCTGGCGCAATGGAACATGGTGACAGAAACCAGAGCGCACGGAAATGCCATTTACCTTCTTGCCGCAGTGGTACCTATTTATGCTTTTGAACTGCTGGGTTGGCAGGAGCTGGTACAGAGCAACAGGAGCTCACCCTGTCGCAGGCAGGGCCGTCTTTACCCAGAGGTGCAAGGGGTGTGGGGCACCCGGGCGCCAAATTCTGGGGGGCGCCAGGCACCCGCTGCTGAAGCCACCTAAGCTCTTAACTATCTACCTATTATGAAATAATAAATAATTTTGATCAAGATAGAAAAACAAAATACATATATACCTAGGTATTGCCAAAATGTATACCTACTGTTTCACTAAAGGACTTTCGACTTTGCGCTTATTTACCAAAGACACACTGCGCCAACTGTGGTGATTATCATTCACAAGGGTGGCACTTGGCAGACGAGTCAACGATGGAGCTTGTCATTCTCAACGGCGCCGTGCACACAAAATTAACTCTTACAAAATATTATGTTACGTATTGTATTGTGCCGCTATGCAGCAGCGGGGTCAGTGGCACCTTTGACACAACTGATCTCGCCGGCTGCATGCAAGCCACTGACTCCGAGTAAAACATTGCAAATTGTGTTTTAATTTCATCACTTACATTTCAAATTCGTTTTGAGAAATTGTTAAAAAAAACGTGGTGTCGGACATAATAAAAGTTAATTTGGGGGCTAAACTAAATTTGGGGGTGCTTTGCACCCCGGCGGCACATATGCTAAGGATGGCCCTGGTCGCAGGAATTTGAACTGCCGACCTTCTGATTGGCAAGTCCAAGAGGCTCAGTGGTTTAGACCACAGCATCAATGGTTCAGCACATTCATTGGCTCACCTGTAGATGTAAAGGAGAAGTAGAGTTGTGTGTTGTCAGCATATTGCTGACAATGTACTCCAAAATTCTGGATGACCCCACTCAGCAGTTTTATGTAGCGGTTTCCTATTCTTGTGTTGGGTTCCCCCCGCCCTTACAATGTAGAAAATCAAATGGTAAAGGTAAAGGTACCCCTGCCCGTACGGGCCAGTCGTGACCGACTCTAGGGTTGCGTGCTCATCTCGATCAAGAGGCCGGGAGCCAGCGCCGTCCGAAGACACTTCCGGGTCACGTGGCCAGCGTGACGAAGCTGCTCTGGTGAGCCTGCACCAGCGCAGCACACGGAAACGCCATTTACCTTCCCGCTATAAAGCGGTACCTATTTATCTACTTGCACTTAGGGGTGCTTTCGAACTGCTAGGTGGGCAGGAGCTGGGGCCGAACGACGTCAAATACCCCTTATTATATTGTCCCTTTGTAGCCCGCTTCCTCACTTCTGCAGGGGCAAGGATGACATCACAGTGTGGTGACTGTGCAGTTACAGGGGGGAAACGTAGAACTTGGCATGGGGATTGCGTTTTAATGGCAGTTCCATTTGGGACATTTCTATTCTCAGGATCCCTACACTGAGAAGCTGGGAAAGAGGGTGGATGGATCTTTCTCAAGACTACATCATCATGATTCATTTATCCAGCACCATACACCCCCTGCCCACCCCATAGTTTCCTTGACTTAAAAATAAACTATTTTAACTCTAACTGATGCCTGAATGAGGGGAATGAGGCAGGGGTCTGGAAGGCTGTAGTTCAGTGGCAGGGCATCTGTCCTGAATGCAGAAGGTCCCACGTTCAATCCCCAGCATCTCCAGGTACGGCTGTCATAGGTAGGGCTTGCTTGAAACTCTGGAGAGCTGCTGTCAGTCAATGTAGACAATGCTGAGCAAGACAGACTGATGGTCTGACTCAGTATAATTCAGCTTCTTGTGTCCCTCATAACCAATAACGAAAAGAGCCACCACGTAACCAGTAGCCACATAACCTGAACTGGACAGCAACCAGAAGGATTTCAATGGGGCTGGTTCTCAGTGGCTGTGCTCAGCTTCTCAGCCTTGAGCCCCTGCTCCCAGACCTCAAGTTAACAGGTTGATCTGTCACCTGAGAGTTTCCCGTCTAGCCAGTCATATTATCTGTCTGTTTCAATCACGTCTGAAAACCTCCTCAATCTCTTTTATCATGTATCCTACACTAAATCACTGTCATTCCATGGCGTATACTTCCATTAGTCAATCAATGAAACTAGTCAGCAAAATGACTTACTTGCACCATTTTCCTGGCTTTTAAAGTTCGGCTCTCCCTCTGCCTTCATTTCTGACTCCATCTTTTCAGCCGGTGTCAGCTGGCCTCGAGCCATTCAGCATCACCTATCTTGCCCCAAATCTTCCTAGAAAGCATTTTAATGTTCATTGTGAAGAAAGCAATTTTATGTACCTTCCCATGTGAATGTGTAGTAATTCTCTCAGGCCCTTTTCTCCTTGAACAATACTGGGAGCTCTGTTGTCATGATGGAGCAGCAACTGGACTGTCCGTGGCCTCCATCCCTGTGTGCAGCAGCCACTACCTCACCTACATTTCAGATGTTGGCAGCAACTGTGCACGGAAACTGTTGTTTGGCACTAAACCACTAGCAGCATCACTTTTTCGTTTTCTTTTTTTGAGACATCTGATGGCATGCTAATATCAAAAGCAGATTGCAGATGTCCCGAACTGTCTCTCACACAACCTTCTTTTAAGAGTAATGGTAGGTCAAAACCAATAGAACAGAACTGCACCAGACATTTCAATTCCCTCATTTACATTCTCATCCAAGCACAGCAATTCATTGAACAGGCAACTTAGTGAAATGCACTTGAATTTCAGAATTGCTCCAACAGAATCTGAACATCTCTGATCCTGCTGAGAAACTATCCCCATCCTGATAAATATTAATGGAAATATAAGGATTTCATGTTATTCCATCATTCTGGTTTAATATATTCTCAGTCCTGCCTTCATTGCCATTTTTCTTCATTAAATAAAGCACTCTTTGGGCTATTGACCAGTGTGTTATATTAACCTAAAATATGTGTTTGTGTGTGCTTTTATTATAGCAACTCAGAATGGGAATTTCAGAACTAAAGTCATTGTAGTTTTTCAGTTCCTAATATAGGAACACCTCAGAAATCCCAAAATATTCTTTTAAAAAGTCTGTCTATAACTCTCAGCTGCTGGTTAAAACTGACCAGTAGTGATGAAGTAATGAATACTTTTATTGATTAATCTACCCATTAGACCAATTAAAGCTTGCAGCCCCAACATAAATCCAATCCAATATGGTTCCCCATGAACACGGAGAATCCGTCTGGAGATACTTAGCCATGCTTTCGCTATGGGGGGGTTTTACAAAGAGAATACTTGAAATGGCTCTGCTATGTATCAAGAGTAGCTCTTTTAATTAAATCACAAGTTATCTTAAAATTCAGATATTGAGGTTTTGATCCTTTATGTTTTAACAGATTATCAGTCTGGTGACAGTGCTGTCTGTATCCATAGGCCAGGGCAGTTGCTGCCAACTTGTTTGCACAATGGTTTATGTAAGCCATGCCTCTGTGAACTGGCACTAGTATTCTAAACTGTGCTTACTGGCACAAACTGAAAACAGTTTCTTAAAACAATCCTTTAAGTTAGTTAAGCAAATAATATCCATTCTTTATCACTAACACTTATTTGCATAATGGCACAAAGATGGGATGGCAACTTTGCAGGAAAATGATTACTGAGGATTTAAATAGGGTGATTTAAAACAACAGTTAGGATGGGTTGCCACCATTTGGCATTTGATTATTTTGAAGTGAGCCCTCTGTGCATGCATAAAACATTAAAGGGGGGGGCGTTTCTTCTTAAAATGAGCTTTAAATCTAGAATATAACACCATGCATACACAAACACTGTGTTTCTTGCTTAATAGGGTGGGGGAGGGGAGAGCATTTAATATACAGCATTCTGATAAAGTTTAGCATTTTGGTGAAATGCAGAGGGAGGTTGGGCTTTTTAAGGTATTTTTGGAAAGGTTCTTTTGCACTTCCATTGTTAATTATTCTATTGCTGTGAAGTATGTATACATTCCCTTCTTGCGACTTCTCTAGACAGAAATGTTGGAAACATATGCATGAAGCTTTTACACATATTTATGATAAAAAGCCATGCACTACAATTCACAGAGATTTGGGCATCAGACAAACGATATGTTTAAAGGGGGAGTGGAAAAGGCTTCAGCACTTGTCCCAGGGTTTTCTTTGGTCAAACAGGGCTTTGAAAATATTTTAAAAACATCAAAGCCTGCGCCTACCAGAGACGTTTGGTGGGCTAAGGCCATTTTTTAAAGAGGCCACAGAAATAAATCGGCTTAACTTTGAGCTGGTATTGTGGTGGTTGTGTTTGTTTGCCAGAAGAGGATTGGGCAGGCTCAGCATAGTAAAGGGGCCCATAAGGGGCCCGAGAGCTTTGGCAAAGGCACACCATAAGCTCAGCTTAGAGCCTCCGTCTGGCTGAAATATCACCCCTGGACACCCAGTGGGACACTAGGCTTGCACCAGGTCAGGGTTCAATGCTGGCCAGTTCCCATGGACAGGGAGTTCCATTCCAGCAGCAAGGACTGAGTGGAAAGAGGAAATGATCCACTGTAGTCAGTAAAGATCTTGCCTGATTTCACTCAACACTGTGTCCTGGGCCTGTTATTTCCACCGCCATTGCAAGGCCACAGATTGCACCTGCGTGGGCAATAACTAGGTCAAGAACACAAATAATTCTTACCCAAGAACCTCTCCTTCAGCCCATTTGTTTCTCTTTATGGGTTGTGCGGTCTGCTGAGAAACTCAAGTTTGTTGACCACAAACTTGACATGAGCCAACAGTGTGACGCGGCAGCTTAAAAAGCCAATGCAGTTGTGGGCTGCATCAATAGGAGTATAGCATCTAGATCAAGGGAAGTAATAGTGCCACTGTATTCTGCTCTGGTCAGACCTCACCTGGAGTACTGTGTCCAGTTCTGGGCACCACAGTTCAAGAAGGACACTGACAAACTGGAACGTGTCCAGAGGAGGGCAACCAAAATGGTCAAAGGCCTGGAAACGATGCCTTATGAGGAACGGCTAAGTGAGCTGGGCATGTTTAGCCTGGAGAAGAGGAGGTTAAGGGGTGATATGATAGCCATGTTCAAATATATAAAAGGATGTCACATAGAGGAGGGAGAAAGGTTGTTTTCTGCTGCTCCAGAGAAGCGGACACGGAGCAATGGATCCAAACTACAAGAAAGAAGATTCCACCTAAACATTAGGAAGAACTTCCTGACAGTAAGAGCTGTTTGACAGTGGAATTTGCTGCCAAGGAGTGTGGTGGAGTCTCCTTCTTTGGAGGTCTTTAAGCAGAGGCTTGACAACCATATGTCAGGAGTGCTCTGATGGTGTTTCCTGCTTGGCAGGGGGTTGGACTCGATGGCCCTTGTGGTCTCTTCCAACTCTATGATTCTATGATTCTATGATTCTATGATTCTGTTCTCTCCCATGCCCTCATATAATGTCAAGAAATTGACTGTTAAGCACAGCCACAAGGAAGCTATCAAGGAGATTTCTAAATGGAAGAATGCCCAAACTCAACTTCCAGATGTATAAAGAAGGAGGGGTGAGTTCACGGCAATGAACAATTTTAGCCATCTTTTTTTGACAGCTCCTGGGGCCTTTGGTGCTTTATACTAATGAAACTAATATATTTGTGGTGAGCTAAGGCTTACGATGACACCCTTATCTGACAGGCAGTTGCAGTGATAAACATTCTTCCTGCTGAATCAATCAGGATATGTCATACAACACAAAATCAGAAGCGTCTGCCCTGTGGTTGGTAGGAACCGGCTCCTCGTTCCTTAAAATTAATGTCAGATGGCCAAGCTGCACAACAAGCAAACTGATTAGGCTGAACAAGATCAAGGAAGAGTTTAGAACATGCAACAAATTACTTGGCTTCCTGCTGACAAAAGCACCAGCTTTTCAGACATTTCAGATGTGATAATGTTGCAAAATTACTTCCTTTTCCACCCCAGTCTTGGGCCAAAACTCAAATAAGTTAAATGGCATTTAATGTGCCTTGGTTTCTCCACAAGCACCTGAAAAGAAGCTGGCACTGTGATGTGGCACCAGTAGAAACCACTGCTCTTTTCCCCTGGAAGGAAGCAGCCATTGACGCAACATGAAATAGATCTTAGCATCTGCAAGCCCATGCAGCATAGTAGGCAAGAGAGTAAGCTACCAGTCAGAAAGTCATAGAACTGTAGAGTTGGAAGGGACCCCAAGGGTCATCTACTCCAGTCCCCTGCAATGAAGGAATCTCAGTGAAAGCATCCTTGACAGATGGCCATCCAACCTCTATTAAAAAACCTCCAAGGAAGAAGAGTCCACAACCTTCTGAGGAAGACTGTTCTACTTTTGAACAGCTCTCCTTTCCTTCATCTTGAAGCCATTGGTTTGAGTCTTGCCTTCCAGAGCAGGAGAAAACAAGCTTGCTCCATCCTCCATGTGAGATTTTTGAAGATGGCTATCATATCTCCTCTCAGTCTCCTCTTTTCCAGGCTAAACATACCCAGCTCCTTCAAGTGTTCCTCATAAGGCTAGGCTTCTAGAGCTTTGATCATCCTCGTTGCCCTCCTCTGCACACATTCCAGCTTGTCAACATCCTTCTTAAATTGTGGCGCTCAGAAAAGGACACAGTATTCCATGTGTGGTCTGACCAAGGCAGAATAGTGTGCTACTATTACTTCCCTTGATCTGGACGTTGATACAGC